GAGGGGTAGGGGGAGGGAGACGAGACAGGAGCTACCAATGAGACAGGACCAAGAAGAGGTTTGGAGGCTGAGGGGAGGGGAGGGAGGAAGCGCGAGGACTGACAGGATACACGCAAGGGAGACAGGACGGTATAGGGGATGGGGGAGAGGGGGAAGGGGAGGATAGGAGAGGGGAGGGAGGGGGGAAAACACAAAAAATAAAAAAATAAAAACCAAAACAAAGGGGCAAGACGGCCGACCGAAACTCAGACGCAGCGACACAGGATATGCAACGGGAGCAGACACCCCTATTGGCAAACAGAGACGTGGCCAGACATCCACCCATAGAACTTAGGCCACATAACATATATGACCAGGTGACGGGTAACTGGGAAGGGAATGGCGAGCTGGGGGCCACATCAGGTCTCGCACACGGACATCTTATGTATCATTGCAATCTGATGTAAAGTTTTCAAGTGTGTTAGCTCTAGACAAAAAATAAAAAATAAAAAATAAAAAATGTTTTATCCCTGTACAACTGAATCGCACCACGGTATACTGTGGAGCACGGTAAATCCGGCTCCCAGCCTAACGTACCAAAACTTTGTCACAAATGCGATGACCCACAATAGAGCTAACATAGGACACAACACGTGTAAAGAGAGACAGGCACGACAGCGTATTCAGCACAGAGGTGTAGACGTCACAGCGAGAAGCACCATAGCAACCAAGCGGCCCGCGTGCGGCGTTGGATGCAACGCTAAACCCCCCCCTACTGCCCTCGATTAAATAAATAATGCCCAACAGGCGAGCGCACAGCGAAAGGTCCCTGCGCAGCTGACCTTACTCTAAACGGCTCACGAGACACCACCCCACCGGAAACCACGCGCTCACGGCAATGTGAATCACACACGGAGTAGATGCAAGATAGCGACAACGGCGACATGTACACAGCCCAGCACACCACACGCCCATGGCCTCAAACCCCATACAGAACGAAACACAAAGCGGACTGAGCTTCAGCCACACAGCCACCTAAGAGACGAAGGACCAAAATCCACAAACAGTAAGACCTAGTTCTCAAGACACGAGACGAACCAGTCCATCACGGACAAGTTGCCCGACCCCCCCAAAGGTATAGGACACAGAAACCCCCGATATATAGGGGGCGTACAACTCCCGGAAACGACCAGTGCCCACCAGTCGGTTAGGCACACTGGTCAACTCACCGGGACACTTGTCCACTACTGGACAGACCACAGAAACCCAACAGATAAAGCGGACCCACGAAGGGCCCACCCACACCCCAGCCAAACCTTGAACACCATCACAAACATCACAAACCACATACGTGCATACCACAGACACACCTACACCCTCTCCTCCCCCTCCCTGCTGTCCGTCCGTCCCCTGCGGCCGCCCGGATGATGCCGGCCCCGGTCCCCAGCGTGTTCACCAGGGAGGACTTAAATATAATCTCCTACAATGTAAAGGGCCTCAATGTTAGAGAAAAACGCACAAGACTCCTGAGGGACCTGAAACAATACAGGACGTCGATAGCGTTCATCCAAGAAACGCACTTTCAGGAGAACAGGGCCCCGGCACTGAAGGACCGAAACTTTCGAACGGGGTACTTCAGTAACAACCCAGATAGACGAACGCAGGGAGTATGCATACTATTCTCCAGCAGAATCCCGTACATAGAACAAGCCACCCTTAGATGCAAACAAGGCAGATATATTTTCACTAAAGGCACTATCTCAGATCAAACCTACACATTCGCCAACATCTATGCCCCAAACACGAAACAATACCACTTCCTCCGGAGCACTGTGGCCTCCCTGATGAAGTTTACGGAAGGCACCCTGATCATCGGAGGAGACCTAAACCTGGCACTACACCCGGATCAGGACGCCACGTCCCCACAAGGAGCAACACCGCAAAACAGACATGCGAAAACACTCCGCCTCCTACACCAACACCAGCTGGCAGACTGCTGGCGAGCATTGCATCCAACTGCCAGGGACTTCACCTTCTACTCATCGGCACACTTAACATACACAAGACTGGATTATTTTCTAATGACACACCATAATCTGAACCTACTAAACGCCGCGGACCACGCCAATGACCTGGTCGGACCACTGCCCGATTCGAATGCGGCTGAAATCGCCGCTATACAGGCCCCGGCAGATGTCATGGAGACTAAACGAATCGATCCTCTCGGACGTGGTAGTGACAGATAAGATTAGTAACTCCATACGAGAATACTTCCAAACCAATGAGACAGAAGACGTAACGCCACTAACATGCTGGGAAGCACACAAGACGGTAATCAGAGGCCAGATCATCGCGCTATGCGCAACCCGCAAGAAAGCAGCAATGCAGGAAACGCTCGAGCTTAACAGAGACATCGCAACCCTGGAGACCAGACACAAACGCACCTTGGACGCAACGACATACCAGGAACTCACGGCCAAACGAAACCAACTCACCGCACATCTCAATCGAGCAATTCAACGTTCATACCAGCACTACAGACACATGATACATGAACACGGGGATAAATGCGAAGGCTGCTGGCAAACCTTCTGAAACAACGTAAAACCCAACTGTACATCCCAAAGATCAAAGACACGCAGCAACGACTTAAGCACCTCCCGGACCAGATTGCGACAGAATTCCGCACATATTACCAAGGCCTATACCACCTCAGACAAGATGAACCAGGAGAATCGCAATCGAGCAAACTCGCTGACGTACGCAGATACATAGGCTCGGCGCATATGCCAGAAATATCAGAGACGGACCGAGAAGCACTAGAAGCCCCCATCACGCCGGAAGAATTGGCGTATGCCATCAAGAAGGCAAAAACGGGCAAGGCACCAGGGCCAGATGGGCTACCCCTTCAATACTACAAAGTTTTTACACAAGAGGTCGTGCCGCACCTACTGAAAGCCCTGAACTCCATACAAGAGGGAGCCACACCAACCGCGCAATTTACCTCGGCGAATATCACCCTACTCCCAAAGGAAGGAAAAGACCCAACACTATGCTCAAGCTACCGCCCAATATCAGTACTGAACACAGACATCAAGCTGCTGGCCAGCATACTGGCACTACGACTAGCACCATTGCTACCGGCCACAATACATCCGGATCAAACAGGATTCATCCCGGGCAGGGAGGTAAGGGACAACACTATCAGAGCCCTGAACATCATAGCGCACGTCAGAACCCAACAGAACCAAACCCTTCTCTTATCTACAGATGCGGAGAAGGCATTTGACCGGGTGGACTGGGACATGATGATGGAAACCCTCCACGCCGCGGGAGTGGGACCGAGATACGGCATATGGGTGAGGGCGCTATACACCGACCCGACGGCACGAATCAGGATCAACGGTGCACTAACGGACCCATTCCAGATACACAACGGGACTAGACAAGGCTGTCCACTATCACCACTATTATTTGCACTGACGCTGGAGCCGTTCCTCAACAGGATCAGGCACAATGACGCCGTCCAGGGGCTTACCATCGGAAACACACATCACAAAACGCTAGCATACGCAGATGATATGCTGTTCGTGGTCACGAACCCAGAAACGTCCCTACCAGCGATACAGACAGAATTTGAGGAATACGGACGAATCTCAAACCTACAAATTAATTATTCAAAATCAGAGATACTGAATTTGACCGTCAAACACACGGACAGACACACACTGCAGAGACGCTACCCATACCGTTGGTGCGACCAACGCATGCGATACCTGGGGGTTTGGCTTACACCCAATCCGGCGGACCTGTACACCCAAAACTACCTCCCCATTTTGAAAAAAGTGACGGAGGAACTGCGTAGATGGAGCCCATACTACATCTCATGGCTAGGGAGGATAAATGCGGTTAAGATGACACTGCTACCCAAACTTCTCTTCGTGTTTCAAACAGTACCGATACAAGCCCCACAAACATTCTTCAAGACATTGAAGGCAGAGGTCCGCACGTTTATATGGAAGGGCAGACCCCCGCGCATAGCATACACCCAGCTCATTTTACCCAAACTCCGAGGAGGTCTAGCGCTTCCCGACTTCGAACGCTACTATCACGCAGCACATCTTACACGAGTCATAAGCTGGACGGTAGCCAGTGGCACAAAACCATGGACCCAACTGGAATCCGACACCACCAACTGCGACCTCCGGACACTGCCTTGGATATCCGCGGCGGCGCACAGGCGCAAACGCATCACAAACCCCTTTGTGGCGGCAACCATGCGGATCTGGCACAGGCAGGGCACAAAACACTACCTGACGACGGATCCAGGCCCGCTGCTGCCACTAAGGGGCAACCCGGACTTCCCAGCAGGCGACCTTGGCCCCACACCGGGCCCAGCAGGACACCCAACAATTCCTCGCATGACAGACGTCCTGGTACGCCCGTTCGACATACGGCCGTTAACAGAACTCTTCCCGGACAGACCACACACTTTCTCACACACACTAGCGAGAGCGCAAATCTCCCAATATGCTCGATCCATCCCGCAAAAACCATCCCTACTTAGGGAAACTACCCAATTTGAGAACCTGTGCACACAGACCACGGAAACACCCAGAGCTATCTCACAGATATATACGATATTGATCACTTGTAGGTATTTATTGGCACCGCCCTGCATAAGAAACTGGGAAGAAGACCTAGATGAGACCATGTCGGAAACAGACTGGGACAAATGCATCACTCTCATACAAAAAACCCCCAGCTCTGCACGCCTGCAAGAAAACTCCTACAAGATATTCACCAGATGGTATCTGACGCCGACAGCACTCCACGTCAGAAACCCAGATATACCAGACACATGCTGGAGATGCGGAGAGGAAACAGGCACGTTTATACATATCTGGTGGGCATGTGCACGAATCCGGCCCTTCTGGGACACAATTAGGGATATAATACACGAAGTAACGGACGAGACACTCCCGGGGGCCCCGGCCGCCTTTCTCCTCCACCACACCAACATGACCGCGCAGCCATACACCAGATCAGTGATACCGCGGTTGCTGAACGCAGCCAAAACAGTCATCCCCATCTACTGGAAGCAGGCGAACACACCCCCGATAACACGATGGCTAGAGGAAGTGGAAACCACTAGGAAATTTGAAGACCTAATGGCAAACACTCCGAAACTTCGAGACCGATATACCACACGCTGGTTCCACTGGATACGATTAACCGCATCAAACGACTTTCAACGCCACCTGGCCACACGGTAACCAAGAATGATGAGACGGAGGGGGCTAAGGATGGGGTCGGGGCGGGAGGCAGAGAAGGGGGGCGGACAACGGCGGCGGTAGGGGACGGACACACGCATCCCCCCAACACCCTTTCCCCCCCCCCATGTCAAT